GTGTGTGTGTGTGTGTGTGTGTGTGTGTGTGTGTGTGTGTGTGTGTGTGTGTGTGTGAACGTGCGTGCGTGCGTGAAGGCGGTTTAAAGGACTAGATGGTGTTCGTTCAGTTTTTCATTCACAGACGGTGCGTGTTCGTTTGGCGGGTGCACCGGTGTGCTTTACTCCTTCTTTCATATCAAAAAGCCGCCGTCCTTATCTTTCCTACTTCTTTTCTTTTTTTCCGTTACCCTCTAATATCTGGTGTCTGTGGCGTAGTTGTTAGGCCCTTTCTGGGACACGCAGGAGACCCAAGGTCGAATCCCGATTTGGGAGAATTTTATCAAGTATCTCGGTATTTCCGTTGGGATGTTGTTCCCCTCTCAGACCGGGTCAGAAGCCCGCCTCCTAAATGATCTTAATTCTGTCGATGGGGTTTTAAATCACCTACATTAAAAAAAAGACAATTCTCTAGTAACGCCTCTAATCTTCTACAAATAAATGACTAAACAAATGACCTAAGTGTGTTGCAACTGCTTAAAACTCTTTCTAGAACTAATTTTCGACACTTTCTATAATAATGTCTTATTTGTGTTGTTATTGCCCTGAAGCTCGAACTAAAACTAATCTTTGGCACTTATATAATATGACCTATTTATGTTGCAAGTGCCGTAAAACTCTACCCAAAACTAATCATCTAAACCACTGACAAACAAAGACAATGGTTTTTCCTTTAGTGGTTCCTCATTGTTCAACGAGAGTGTCATTTTGTATTTATTTATTTATTTGTTAAATTTTAAAAAAAAAAATTTTCTGGGGGGAGGAAATTATTGTTCTTCCAAATGTAATTCATATTGGGGTGCGGTAAAAAACAACAACCCAGCCATAAGTGCTATCAACCTCAGTACGTGAGGTCATGACTATGCAGAGGGCTGGGGTTCGAATCTTTTGACGTACCCATCACTGTAAAAAGAGACTTGTACATTTAAACGTCATAAGGGACCTAGTTTTGAACTATGTAGAGGGCTGCGGTTCGAATCAGTTGGCGTATCCATGAATGTAGTAATAACGAGATTCTGTACTTTTAAGTGTTGTAAGAGACTTAATTTTGATATATCTACGTTCTGCCGGGGGTATTTTTTAGGGAC